TTTACCAAACACATTTAAGATTATAGTTGTGCACGTAAGATCCCTCTTCTTAGATATTACCCATATTTAGCCTTTAGTTAGTTCATTAGTCACTTCCCCTTTGGGTCACAAATGGTAATTAACAACTAGAGCCCCTCTTTGTAATTCCTACCAACCCTCCATTTGAGCCTGATAATGGACAATCATTGCCTGAGGAAGTTCAGGCTGGGTTTCCTGGGTGGAGGGGAGGATTGTGATTTCTGGGGGATATATAACTGTAAAGCGAGGGTAAAGGGGGGAAGAATAAAGAAAAAGTGAATGGACTAAGAGCTCGGTGTGCTGAGATTCAATTTACAGAAAATAGTCCTCGCCGTCAGTAGTTCTCTCTCCTGAGCCTCTGGGATGTATAATATTGAGGCTGGTTCCTCTATTATTATACAAGACCTGGCGCCCTTGGGTACACACTCTTTGCCCATCTGGAGAGGTCTATCCCCAGATGTCTTTCTCACCAATTTTCCAGTCATGTTTTTTCTAAGTCCCTGAACATCCAGCCAATCCATTGTCTACAGCCCATCAATCAGTGATCAGTTGTGCATTTGGCCATTCCTGCTTCCAAACAAACTGTATGACCATGTGTACTGCCCAAACTTCTGCCCACTTCGATGATTTCCCTTCACCAGTATCTTTCAGGGTTGTCCCAGAATGGGGTTGTAACGCTACAGCTATCCACTTCTGGGTGGTACCTGCATGGTGGACAGGACCATCAGTAAACCCAGCCCTTGTCATCTCTTCCCCAGTCAAACAATCATCAAGAACACTCCATGTAACTATAGGTGCATGTTTGGCAGCAAAAGGTATTATAACAAGAGAAGAAACCATAGGCAATCGGGAAACTTCTTCATGGAGCTTGCTTGTGCCTTCAGGACCTGCTTCGGCCTGATCTCTTATATACCACTATCATTTGATAACCGTTGCTGCTGTGTATGGCCTACTTTATGACTTGGAGGGTCTGATAACACCCAGCTCATGATGGGCAGTTCACGTGGCATGGTAACTTGGTGGACCATTGTCAAATGTTCATTTTCTCCCAGTGGCTGGGATTAATGACATGTGTTCACATGCTTGGCCATATTTACTTTTCAAAATGATTCTTTGGGCACCAGTGGCAGACACTTGAACTGTCTTTAAGAAGTATTGTATTGTCCCAATTCTCCAATGCTCCTTTTCTTGTGTATTATTCATTTTTGTCTTTTATAGTGTGTGTGTGTGTGTGTGTGTGTGTGTGTGTGTGTGTGTGTGTGTGTGTGTGTAGACTATGTAGCACAGGCTTTAAAACTCACAGTTGCTGGTATTAAAAGAATGCACTACCACTGGGCAGTGGTGGTGCATGCCTTAAATCCCAGAACTCGGGAGGCAGAGGCAGGCTAATCTCTGTGAGTTCAAGGCCAGCATGGTCTACAAAGTGAGTTCCAGGACAGGTTCCAAAGCTACACTATCAAACATGGCTTGAAAAAGAATTTTTATGGTACAAGTCCCCTGTTTTAATGGTGGCCAGGAAGGCCAGGAGATGTATCAGAACCCAATACTGGAGTTAGGGAGAGTAGTGAGCTTCTGTATATAATGGTAATCGTAGCAGGATGCTCTGAAAGTATCTTCAGTACTCTTAACTGCTAAGGTTTTTTTCTACTCTATGTTTTCTGTTTTTGATTATGCTTCTTGTCCAAGGAAGGCTAGTCAGGGTCAGATACCTGATGCTCATTACAAAGTGGAATTCTCCTCTAGTTGAGAGAATTACCTCAGCCAGGGATGACCTCCCTAATTGATTATCTAGTACAAGGTGGTCAGCCCATTATCCATATATGTACAACAGATATGTATACAACACAAATGGACACAGCAGGTTGTATTCATGTATTCAGCATACTGATTCACCCATACTTAACAAGGAAGAATTTGGAAGGTATTTTGGAAGGGATGGAATGAAGAGACAAAAGGGGACAGAGCTGTAATATCTTTTGTTTCGTTTTTTGAGACAGGGTTTCTCTGTGTAGCTTTGTGCCTTTCCTCGATCTCGCTCTGTAGACCAGGCTGGCCTCAGAAAGATCCGCATGCCTCTACCTCCCAAGTGCTGGAATTAAAGGTGTGTGCCACCACCGCTCAGCAATGTAATATCTTTTAATGAACCATTTAATGGAATAAAATTTAAATAAAAAAAACCCAGGGGCTACATAGATGGCTCAGCAATTGAGAGCGCTGGGTGTTGTTATAGAGGACCCAGGTTCCATTCAAAATGGTAGCTAACCATTTGCTGTAACTCCAGTCCCAGCATCTCCTGCATTCTTCTGGCCTCTGTCAGCACTGTGCACAGACACATGCAGGCAAAACACCATATAACTAACTTTTATTTATTAAAGTTAGAAAAAGGGAAGAATGGAATTCTCTGTAGTGATGTCACAGGCCTGAGACAGACAGCAGCCAGGGCTAGTTAAAATGAACTCCTTCTGGTCTTTCAGGGAAGCAGTTGTGGCCTTCTCCTGAGCCAGCCTGCTCAGAGGCAAAAGCAGCTTTGTTCTGAGGTTAATAGAGCTCATCATAACTGTTCATCTAAGAGCATCATATAGTGCTGTTAGGTGAACTTTCCTGGATGTTTTCTCTGTCTTTTGTATCAGTGAGAACTGTGGCATTGGTACAGTTATCTTTTAGATCCAACATCAAGAGTGCCAGGCACCATGGGCTCCAGAGCAGTCTACCTTCACAGAGTCATTTGCTTGACTTTCAGCTAAGACCTTGTGGTACAAGATGAACTTGCCAGAGACATTTCTTTCCATCATTCTTATAATTTATGTATGTTCTTACATGACTTTGAGGTAAGAATGTCTCTGCTTTTACATTGTGATCATACTCAGAATTGGATTTGTTGACTGAGCATGCTTAGGAATATGCAGAACTCTATGAGAACATGTCAAGATTCCCTAAGTAAAATCCACATGCTTCCTTTGTTTAGGAAAAGCATTGTTTTGGAAATAACTCACATGTTCTCTTTACCTCCTTCAAGGAAGAAATCTTTCTAATTTTTTTCTGTCTTTGCTGTTGTGATGGCTATTCTTGGTAGTCAAACTGACCACCTCTAGAATGAACTAAAACCCAAAGACTTGGGTATATCTGTGAAGAATGTTTCTTAAAGATTTTGAAATTAAAGACTGATCTGCATCATATAAGGTGATAAGATCCTCGTTTAGCTCCTTGGTGGCAGTGCACACCGTTAGCCACAGTACTGAGGGGACAGAGGTAGTTGGATTTTTTGAGTTTGAGGTCAACCTGGTCTACTGAATGAGTTCCTGGGCTACACAGATAAACCATGCCTCAAAAACATCAAAAAACCCATCAAACAAACAAGTTCCACCTTTAATCTGGGTCACACCTTTTGGCAGCAGCTGACATATATAAAGGATATTGAAGAAGGAAGCCCTCTGTCTTTGCCTGCTTGCCCTAGCTCTGGCTGCCAAGCTCACTCCTTTACTAGCATTAGAACATAAGTTTTGGTATTTTTGTTGTATACTGAAGAGGAGCTGAGACATCCAGTCAAAGGAACTGAACAACTACTATCTTCTTCAAATTTCCATTGGTAGACAGCCACTGTTGGAGTAGCTGGGCCACAGCTTGTGAGACAGTCCAATAATCTGACTTTATGCATACATGTAGAGATTCATTTTACTGGTCATGTTCATGTAGGGAACCTTGAATAATGCAGCTGGTTTTTTCTTTTTAACCTGCCCACTGAGGAAGATGTGCTGGCTAAAGACACTCTTCATAGCTCCATTATTCTCTAAGTATGCAACCTTCCATGAAGAGTACTCTTTTTATTATCACTCATTTGCCAACAATTTACTCTGAATTTCAGGAATAAAACTCCTAAATTAATGGAGCCATCATCCAGCCTTCTGATGGGAAAAAGACCTATTATTTTGTTTGTGATCTAGTTCCTGCTTTTCTTTTCTGGATCTCGGAAGTCCCTGTGACAACCAGGTGAAAAGTACCTTCAGTTCACCTGACCCCGGTGTGAAGCCACAGAACAAACATCTCCTTTTGTGTCCTTAAATCCCTCTTTAGTCGTTAATATTCCAGGCACCCTTCCACCATGTGATAGGGAATCACTCCATGTATATAGTGTAGAGGGCTGTACAATCTAGCTAGCCACATTGTGTCCAGGAGGAAGAAGGGGAAGTGCCTGTGGAGAGCAGGAAGATAGCAGGGTCTGCTATTAGAGCCAGGGGCAAGTGCTGTTGAAATGCATGTGTCTGCTGATTTAGAAAAGGTATATGTCTGACTTGGAAGAGAGGGTCAGGAGCCCTGGCACTGTGTCTTTAAGCACAGGGTAACCCTATGGGAGGTGCTCTTGTCACTCAGAACTCACTAGCCAATCAGGCCCTCCAGGCGACCTGCCAGTCATGAGTTGTGCAGGGTGCTTCCGGGTTCCCGGCTTCAGGCTTTGCTTTGAAGAGGAGCTGGCGGGAGAGGTCTTGTGTGCTGTGCTGTGAGTGCTGCTGCTGCGGGGAGCGGAGAGGAGAGCATGGGAAACCGTGACCAGGTGAGAGATGGACTGCTGTCTCCACTTGGGGAGGAGCAGATGGGGCGGTGCGGAAGTCAGTGTGGCGGTCTGGGTGAAAACCTGCAGCCGGAATCCCTGTCCTGTGAGTTCCCATGTGGTCCTTGCAACTCCCTGGATGCAGGGGCAGGTCTCTGAATAATTTTGCTCTGTGGGCTGCATCTTCACAGATCATTGGGAGCAGGGAGCTGTGTGTAGAAAGATCATTGCAGTCAACTTCAACATGCTTTTGGTTCATTCCTGGAAAGCAGGCTGCCCAACTCAGAGAGGCATAGTTTCTCCCGTACCTCTTAGACATATAGAACTTTGAATTTTTACCTTTATGTGTAAGATCGATTTCTAGTTAGTTGTTTTTGCAGAAGTTATAAAAGGCATCTCATGTGTTGGGTAGCACTGCACTGTCATGTGGAAGAGTAGAATTGGTGATATAAAGCATTTACAAAAGTTTAGGAGGAAGTAATTCCTCAAAATAGATTTTAGCTGAGGGGGGACTGCCTCTTAAACACTCCAAAGATAAGTAGTATGCTAACCAGGCCAGTTAGAGATTAAGATGCTAGGACACACATTTATTCCCCAGGATAGTGTGGCTCTAAACCACAACCACTTGGGTCCATGCCTGTATCAAAGATCAGGCCTCTAACATGCTGCTCAAGGAGGCATTACAGGGTCACAGCTAACCTTAAGGCATGGTGTGCCATAAAGTTCCAGTGTTCTTCCTGAGAAAAGCATAGTTCTGCCAGATGTGAAAGAGGACACCAGGTGGCAAGTATTTGAAATGTAAAGCAGTGTTATTTATCTGATCAAGCTAGGCTTTCCTTTAGGCATTCTCCATTCTCATAGGGAGGAGGAACATTCTTGGGAAAGCTAATTATGGCCTGGGTCCTGGGCCTTGGGAATTTACCCTAAGGGCCTGATAGATTGAAAATAAAACTGAGCTCCTTCTTTAAAACCTGGAATGTGCTTGGAAGAGCTGGTAATGGTGTGGGCCCATCCTTTGTGGAGAGCTTGCTTCAGATCCTGAGAGCCCAACACTTCCCTCTATCTACATGGAGCTATGGTTATCAGTCCCAAGACAGCTGTGGGCTTAGTAACATTCTTGAGATACCCTGTGTTCCCCTTATGCAGCAGTGTCTGATTAGCCTTTTCCCTGGGTTGGTCCCATTGTATTATAGTTTCTGCTGACTTCATTGATATTTCCCATTGCCTTCCATTTCCCCTCTGGAAGCAGGAGAGGATGATACTATTCTTCTTAAGATGCTTACTTGGCATCAGCCATAGCTCGTGCAGGGCCTCCCCACCACAGCTTTTATCTTTTCTACCTTCTACTTTTCCTATCTTTCTCTTCCCTGGCACCTCCCCCTCAGGACACTGTCACTGAAGAAGGTTCTGCTGTTTCAAGTCACTGGTGTTCTTAAGAAATAATGCTGGGAATATCTTTGCTGTGTAACTCTCCCATCTGTCTAAGTAGCTAGACTTTTACAAGTTGCCTGTCCCTGTTTAGATTGTTCAAAGTTAACCTGAGGCATGAACCTAAAAGACACTTGAGGCTGACAGCATATGTGTACTACAGTATATGTCTAGGCTGTCCCTCTTTGAGCATTAGCCACAGATGGAGGCATACTATCCTTAAAGAGATTTTTCTTTATTATTCTCCTAGTGTGTTGAGTGATTTGCTCTTGGGAAGGGATGTTAATTCTACAACAGCTGCATTTCCATCCTTTAGAAGTGTTTCTGAGACAAGCTCTCTTATGTTGATTTAGGTGGCATTGATTCCAGTCTGTTGATTTCCAGGGAAGTAATCTTTTGTCTTCTAAACTACACCTTGAAAATTCTTAGGTTAAATGACTGTACCTGCCCAAAGTTTTAAAATTATCCATTTGAGTCATGTAGTCGACCATCCAATGCAGTCACAGGAGAAAGATCCACATGTGGAACATTGCTTCTGTCTTCAGACCAGATAGGAGGAATAGGTTCTTGGGTACACAGCAGGGGAAACAGGGTAGGAAATCAGCTGCTGCAGTCACCATTATGAAAAAGGATCTGGCCCAGTGGTGGTGGCGCATGCCTTTAATCCCAGCACTCAGGCAGAGACAGGTGGATCTCTGTGAATTCAAGGCCAGCCTGGGCTATAGAGTGAGGTCTAGGACAGGCTCCAAAACTACACAGAGAAATCCTGTCTCGAAAAAAAAACACACACACACACACACACAGAGAGAGAGAGAGAGAGAGAGAGAGAGAGAGAGAGAGAGAGAGAGAGAGAGAGGAGAAAGGATCCGATTGTGGAAGTGGGAGTGATTTTGTAATTTCCCTGCATGTATTAATTCATCTCATGTGAGAGAACACAAACCAGATTGTGTAGGTATATAGTTTGGGAAGGTTATCTTGAGCCAATGAATATTGAATTTGCAACTAGGGAACTCTCCTATGCAGATATGGTCAATTCTGCTTGACACAGTTATGTCAGCTCAGAGGTTTGGGAAACAGGCCATTGACTGTAACTGTGTGTCAGGTAACAGAACTCAGAAGCCAACATGTGCATATGGACAGGATCAGTCTAGCTCTTATTAATGACATTTCTTCTACTAGGAGAAGGCCTACTCTTCTTCAAAGTCAATATAGCTAAGTTTTTTGTTGTTGTTTTTGTCGTCCCCCCCAGCTGTGGACAGAACCCAGGGCCTTGGGTTGCTAGGCAAGCACTCTGCCACTGAGCTAAATCCCTAACCCCTAGCTAAGTTTTTTTTTTTAATCTTAAAAATACATTATTTTTATTATTTTATAAATCTCTTGTTTTAAGATCAATTAATGAGTGACCTCCAATCTCCCTGCTCTTAAGGGGACTTATAAATGAAGAGGGACTTGTGCAAGAATTATTTTCATAAACCAACCTTGAAGTTGGTAAAGTCACAGTGCAGAAAGGGAGAGGTAGGACAGAGGTTGAGAGCTTTCCTACTTCAACAGTAGATGAGATTAGCAATGTGGAATTAAGTAATTAATACTAGATACTTCATAATGTCCTGATTGGCCATTTCTTGGGTTCCACAGACCAGGGCAATCTAGAATCTGCATGAAGGACTGACCTTATTATTAAACCAAATTGCTATGGTTACAGTAGTTCAACCAAAATAGAAGATCTGTGTAAAATGTTGTGGCCCTACCTAACAGGACTGTTAATTTTCTGGTTTAAGATGTTCATCCTGAGAGAAGAGGTGTGAGAAATCTCAGATGTGCTTTGAAACAAATCCCTAGTCTCTGGAGCACATGCATAAAGCCTATTTCAACTTTTCAAAATAATTTTTGAGATCATCACTACATCATATCCACATTCTCTTTCCTGCCACCAAGCCCTGCCATGACCCCTCATTGTTTTCTAATTCATGGCCTGTTTTTCCTTAACAGCAGTTACACAGTAAAACATGTACTGTGTGAATGTGACCTGTGTTTGGCTGCAGGATTTCCCAGCTATGAGGCAATGGGTTGGCGGCACTGGACATTGAGTGTGTAATGGAATATGCCTACAAAGAACCCTGTGCTTTGGATGAGGAAGAGGAGGTGCTCTGGAGAGTGGAAGAATGTCTACTAAATACAAACTTTCTAGACTAGGGCCCTGGCTGCTGGGCAGAGACTGTGCTGTCTGAGTCATTTGATCTAAGAATCCCCAGTAGGGAAGCTGTTAATATTCTGAGGCCCAGCTGGGTGGCCCTAGCAACAGAAAGGCTTATCAATCAGGAGTACCAGCAGCAGGTAGCTTTCAGGTACTTTTTGACATTCTCCTCTGCTTCCTCTGTAGGGAGTTGTAAGGAAGACCACAAGCCATGCCATGGTGAGTGTAGGGTATTGGAACAGGTCTGTTGTGTTGTCATTTCTGCTGGGATTTGCATGGGCCATGAGCAAGACTGTGGTTCTGTTGGTCCATGTGGTGACCTGGGCAGTGGCCATTGTCCTCTGAGCCTTCCTGTGTCTGAACTTGCTGGGGAGGGGGAGACCGCAGCCCTGGCATGGAGGGATATAATGCTGGTGATATCACCGTCTAGTGTGCACACAAGGGCACTGCTATTGGTGTTCAGTGGGAAGAGAGATTGGAAACTGATGGTCTGGTTTTTAGAAGTTTTGAATATGGCATTCCTCTTCAGGTTTGTGTTATGAATTTTACATATGGTTTAGAAACTGGTAGAAAGATGGTGATGTGGATCATCTTTCAGCAATACATGATTAGAATGCTTCTCACTTTCTGCTACCATTAGCCACAATGTTGTGATTCAGTAAAGTTCTAAGGGACTAAAGGAGTTTATGATCAGCAGAGATTTGTGAGGTGTGCATGGTGTTGGGCAGGTTGATAGGGCAGAATCCACATCTTGTGCCATAGTGGATGTGACAGGAAGCAGATTATAAACTATTCTTATATGTTGTATTGGGATTTGGCATCAGTGGGGCTGGGTTTACCTAAAACCACAAGGGGGCGTAAGGGGCTGCAGAGCCATCGCAGGAGATCACCTCCATTTGCAGAGAGAGCTCTAGAGCATGGGGCTTCTTTCTGTCTTTGGATGAACCATCAGTAGCTGGAGGGTCAGAAACAACAGTATAAGGGTCACTTTGAGTTAATTTTGTGAAAGTTGTGATGTTTGTGTTTATTTAATTTCTATGCACATTGAATCATAGGTAGCTGGGTAACATTGGTCAAGAATACACTTTTACTGGCTACGTTATTATTATTATTATTATTATTATTATTTGGTTTTTGATTAAAGGTTTTCTGCTTTTGTTCTTGGCCTTTTCTCTTCTTCCGCCTTATTCTTTTACAAATATTGTACTCATTCTTGATTGTTGTATCATTGTATTAAGTCTAGAAGCCATATTATTTCAATATTTTTTAATAATCCCATTGAACATCCTGAGTGTTTCCACTTTGCATGTAGTTTTGGAATCAGCTTTCCTGTTGTAAATTGTTGGGCATTGTCATTGGATTCTATTTATTCTGAAGATTT